AAATATCTCATTGTATATAAATGCACATGTGAACACACATACACATAAATATTAAACATATATATATCCTGCATAAATGGAAAGATGTTATCTAGAATTTCATTTGCAAAGCAAAATCAAACTGCACTTGTCTTCATTAGAGTATATTCATGGAGACAAGAAGTACACACACCATCTATATGTCTACATTTAGTAGATTGAAATTTAGACAGGTCAGACTTTTATCCTTATTAAGAAGCATTTTGGCTACAGGGAACATGCTCTTATGCTTTATCAGGTGACAAATATTCATGAATTTCTGAAGATTACATTTATTGAAATTTCTCATTAGAAGAGTTTTCTGCAAAGAAAAGCATTTCTGATACCAAATAATGTAAGCCATTTAATTCCATGAGAACGCAGCAAAGTGTTACGGATTCAAGATTGAGGCTTGAAACAAATATGATCATAGAAAAAGATTAGAGAATTGAAGGAAATATTAACGTATATGCTTCATTACATACTGCATTTGTTTTAAAAATAGTAACCGCTCTAAAATCCAAAGCTCACCTGCTACAACAGTTACAGCTTCAGTCCAGCTTGTTTTCCTATTCCAGGCCATTCTGAATGAGATGGGAAGAAAATGGGAATATTGTGGCTTTCTGATATACAAACTGCACCAGGCTTGCAATAATTAGCAAGGCCTAGAGATCGTTCTAACATACCCTAAGGTATGGTCCTAAAGGACTATTCCTATCAAAATTACTGTAAAGAAAGAGAGGACTTCAGTGCTGTCTCATGTTCACTTCTTTTCCTGCCTTTTTAGGAGGTGGTTTGGGACCAAGCTTCACCATTTTGTATTAAATAGGAATTCTTTTTCCTGGGGCATTCTCAGGTACATCCTGAGGCTTTAAATAAAAATTAGGTTTGTTTCTTGCACATGGACTTATGGAGAACTGAATTTACATAATGACAGATTAAACACACAAAAGGAGATTTTGGACTGTGTTTCTTATACAGAAGTACATCTTTTAGCTCTTGCAATTATTTAACTTCCTGATTTGGATAGTGGTGAGACTTAATCTCAATTCTAAATGTACTATCAGATGTTGCTTTTGCAGATACCAAAAGAATAACAACTTCAGTTCAGACTCATTCATTTCTTTCACTTTAATTATAGTTCTTGACAACCTGAGTTGCAGATGAGTAACACACACATAGAAACACTCGCAGACAAGAAGACATACCCTCAAGGGAAAACATTACAGGTTTTCCCAGCTTTAGCAGGTTCAATTGCAAATACCAAACAAAACAGCTTACAACAAAGTATTTAATAAAACTCACAATAGGAATGTATTTCCCTTAAATGTAGGAGGTCATAATAGCCTTTAGGAAGAGATCAAACTGAGTGAGGAAGGTTAAAAGTTGCCTTATATCTTTAACCTATGAAATATTTTCTTCCACACTTGGAACATATTATTATTACTGTTACTATTATTATTTATGAACCTTATAGGAGCAAAGGAAAAATATTTCTATTCTTACACCACATCATTAATCTTACGTAACTGATAAGCAGCTGCATCAACAAAAATGGTTTGTTTTGTATAATGTATTTAAGACATTGGTATGCAGTTGAAGTAGAAAACTATTCAGTATCAGAAAAATCAGTCCTAACCTCTTACTATTAGAAATTCTCAAATGCTTTCTTTTAACATCAATTCTTTCTAATTTTGACTAACACATCATCAAAATACCTTGTGAACTAGGTTACCAGGTAGGTAATAGTATCACTAGAAAATGAGATGAAACGTAAAAGTAATTTGTCCTAAATCTCATCAAAGACTAAATTAGAACTCTATAAAACTGGATTAGAGCATCAATATCCAATCCAAAAGACTGCAGAACATTTTCATACTTTTTTATACCTGCAACTAGATTCAACGTTCCCATTATCAAAAAATTAGAGAAGATACAGCTTTACTCAGTCTCAGAAGGGATGTTACATGTTTCATCATTCCTTAGCTATGACAGATAACAAACAAAAAAGATTTTTCCATTCATCCATCAAGCTGATCCACTACAGCAATAGAACAACTTTGGGTCAGAGGCATGTCTGTGTTAAGGTCTCAAACTTTTATGATATGTGTCAGCTTGGCATTTTTACATGGCCTTTTCAAGCTGTTGTTTCAATTTCTCAAAATATATCCATTTTTACCTTCTGTAGGTATACCAGTAGTACATATAATGTTTCTGCGCGGTTGGTACTCCTCAGCTTTTCACAGTCTTGCTGTACTCAAACTTTATAGGCAGCAGCCACTGGTACCTTAGTGGTGCTTGCCCATTCCCCATCATCTGTCCATCTTTTTAAGCAAGAAAGCACTTTGGTGTTTTTTACCGACAGATCTTTGATATCAAACTGAACATGGACCCTTTTTTAAATTTGATTTCTAGTGCCTGGGTGCAAGTGATTAAATCAATGTCTTGATCTGTGTTCACGTAGTTTTCTTATGCTAAGTTTATGTCCCTTAAGAAAGTATTTGATAGTATTATAGACTTTATTTACTGTCTCTTTGCATTTCCATGCATTCATTGAATTAATCTTAGTTATATTCCTTGGAACACTTGGAAGATTTCTCTCCTTTCTTGAATGTATAGACATTTTTTAAATGTTTTCAGTTAGGCATATTCTTTCTCTGCTTTTATCCACTCTTCAGGCGAGTAATGTGTTCTAGTGTATGTTGACAAATCAGTCTTAACTTTTTTGCTCTTCCCTTAATTTTTTCTTTATCGACTACAGATATCATACTGTAGGTCAAAGCAAGATTTCAGATTTGAGCAGTGCTAGCCCCAAAATACCATCTGGAGTATTATCTGCTACCTAATCTATTGAACTGTTTATATCACGTTGTCATGATGGAATGAACCATATTTTTCATCTTGTGTTGTTACTGGGGAATGTTCTTGGCCATACTCAGCCTTCCGGAATTTAGTTGTGCTACTTCCATATGTTCCTATTCCAATAAATGATTATTTATTTCATTTTAGGAGATCTTAGAACTGCTACTACAAGTGTGATATTTCTCATATTTAAGGTTATATCCTCTGAACATCCTTCTCTTTATCAGAATGAACAAGCTTGCTTAGGCTTCATAAGATCTGGTGATCACAGGAGTTCGAAATATATTCCTACTTCATTTGGCAAAAACAACTGTGGTGCAATAGTTCAGAGGTTACCCAAGCTATGAATTAACTGAATTCTACTTGGTACTTTTTACCATAAAAGCCTTTAAAAGTTCAATTTTTCCTTTCTCTTTGGCAGATTAGTAGACATACATGTTAATAAGGAGTAGGTGCAATATAGGCTACCAGAGGTGTTTTTCCTCCACTCTACCTTCGTACATGCAAATAGCTTGAAATCGAGATGATGTAATGAGAAATCAGACAGACATATGTTTAATTCAATTATGAACTGAAATTCACAGCACTATCGTCACTCTCCATTACTCAGAAGCAGCCTAGTTTTGCATTGTGTTCCTGAAGTTATATATCATCTCTAACAGTCACAATAGCTCTTCATTTAGTCAACTGGACTAGCCCATTAAATCCACAAGTATACTGGTTTAAAGTAGCATCTGCAGATACTGCAGGATTAGATTATGATAAAAGTTTTGAAGGTTAAAAAGAAAAATACTTGACTTCTGTTGTAAGGTGAAGTGACTGGTACTAGACATTAGTCACACACCTTCTTTTTTCAATAGAAGGAGAGGAGAGAAAAACAAAGAGCACACAAACAGAGCAGGGAATACACATTAATTATTACTAAGACTGAAAAAATAATCATGATTAGATTACAATTTACATGATCCTTGTAGCAACAAAAAGCCTAAGGGAAAATGTCAATATTAACTCTGTGTGCTTATAATACATACTCTCAAAAGAAATTTAAGAAGCATTCATTTTTCATCTTCCAAAAGGCAGGATCTTATGTTAGCACTCTTTACTGGTGCTGAATAGTCCCCCATTCTCTGAGCAGTTTTATTTAATGGAGTTAGGTTTAGCAGCATATACTATTTTTTTCAATTTTAGTACACAGCTAGGTTATTAAGAAAATCCCAGTGGATAATATAAGCAATTATGTTTACTCTCGAACCTGCTTTTTCAGTATTTGGATGATAAAAATTCCATTTACAATAAATTAGAATGAATATCCCATTTTAAGCCCTCCAAGTTTCAGTTCTTAGGAAGTTTTTTGAAAAAATGTGCTTCAGCCTGTAAGGTTGTCATTGTCTAAAAATGTACAGTCTTTAAAAGCATCACCTCTTTGCAATTTTGTTGATATTTTTCTGGAACTTTAAAGTGTGCTCTGTAAATAAATGTATGCCCAGAATTTTTATACTTCCCTCACTTGTTCTTTCAGCACAGTTTGTCAGTTCTCATTTTCAATGCGAGAAAAACAATTCTTTCCTGACCTCCCTCATACAGTGGTGTAGGTGGCCTACCCTCTGGCTTACTCTATTCAAGGGTCAGCCCAGAGGGCTGGATTGTGTAATGTTTATTCAGCACTGGTGGACACAAGTGTAATTCCGGTTGCAGTCGCTGGAATTTCAGCTGCTTGCATCAGTGTTTATGTTTTTATGCAGTTCGACTGTTCAAAACCATACACAAAGTAATGCTACTCAGAAGTCTATCAACCAAATTCATGCCCTATCTGATGTCAATCAGATTTTAATGGGGATAGGGCTTTCTATCCTTTCTGGTTTTCATCAAAAGGCGCCAAAATTTATCCCCTTTCCTAATCAGCAAACCCTTTAGGGCTTGCATGCTTAACCTGTGCTATGGGAGCAAGTGAGAGGAACCACCAGACAGCGGGGTTACTCATCGTGGAAGAGTCCCTGTTTCCTTGACCAAGCATAGCTCCTTCAGCACACGTTTTCCTCTCTTCTCACCTCTACGCTACGGCACAATATTTCTCTTGCTCTCTCTCTCACTATCTCTTTTCTGTATCTCTCGGAAATCAGACTGGAGTTCAGAGCACTTTCACTACCTTTTATGAGGTAGAGTGTGATGTCATAGATGGGGGCAGGGCTAGTCAACTTTCTACCCACCCACCCACCTGTGCTGAGGGAGCTACGCTTGAGACCGGAAGCAGTGACTCCTCGACGGTGAGTAACCTCCTGTCTCATCTATATCTTTAACTCGCTTTCTAGATCTGGGGGTGGAGGGAAAAGACATGAGAATGGGGGATTTTTTTTGTTAGCTTTTTTTTTAATTAACCATAGGACTCACAGAATGAATTGCATGTGTTGTCTTAATCAGCTGCGAAAAGTCATTTCCTTCCTGTTCTGAAGTCCTAGAGTTAATGTCATCTGTAAAGCAATGATCACGTTTCTTTGCAGAGATGGTCCGTTTTCTGGTGGTTAAACTGGTCTTTCGATGTTTATCTTGCATTTTGAAAGGGCAGACTCTGGTCCCCTTGAACCCAATTGCTAAACTTCCATTAATTTAATTACAGTAGTGCTGGGCCATCATTTTTCTAAAGTACTTTGTGATTAAAGATAGATGGTGTTATTTATATATTTATCATTGTTAACTGTGGATAATGCTTGTTTATACAGGACGGAGGTTTTATTTTCTATATTCTTTGTTACTGTTTTTATTTGCTTTATCCAGAATGTTTATGAAGCTATGTATTGACAATAGGCCAATTATAAGACCAATTTTATAGGTGAAATAAAATTCAAAAGTAAATTGTGGGAGTTGTGAAATTAAGCAGGAAATCAAATCCCAGGAGATGTAACTGAGATTTAACCTTTGAAATTATAAATCAAAGCCTTTGATTTTTTCTGTGGTAAGGACTTGAGATGGGCAGGGATATTGCTAACTGAATTTCTTGGTGTTTTTCTTGTGTCACTACCTATACATTACTATTTTACTTTAAAGCACTTTCTTGTTACCTATTTCCCTCAACCCCAGGTATTACTGCTTCACTGTTTTAATATCCCTCAGCATTTTAAAAAAGACAAGATGGACTACGAAGATTTTCCTTTCTTGTTCTGCCTCTTGGGTATCTATTAAAGCAGTCGAGATGTCAGAGCTCTTATACTAAAGGGCAGAAGAAGGATCATATGAAGATATTGACCCCTATGGATACTGCAAATCTTGCTGTTGGTGTTCATTTAAAGCTCTTTACCAGCTCCGCGTGGGGTCTTGTCATATCTCAGTGAAAGGCACTAAAAGGCAGCAATGCATACTCTATAAATCAAAAGCAAAGAGAGTGCAATCACAGCCTTTTCAGCAGAGGTGGTCCATAGTCTGATTGATGAAGTACTTCTATTTTCAGGTGACTGGTTGGCTTTGAGAAATTGGGTATAGGATGCAGAGCCTTCCATCTTCTGGTCTCTGGCGTGTATTGGGGATTCGTCAGTAGTGATGGATAGATATTCCTCCCTGATGACTCAGTGATGCTCTTTGTGTCAATGCATAGGAGATCTGAATGAAATTCTGGGAGGATGAAAGTCTTGTTTTCAAAGCTACCAAAACTTTCACTAATGACTGTTTCCCTTCCTGTCAGAGAGAAAAATAAGGACAAAGAATATAAAAATTGGCTCCCTGTGACAGGTGGTAGCTTTTCTAGCTTTGAATAATGTGTGCAAGGAGTTTTATTACTACTGCTTATTCCTTTAGTGAACCAAACATTGAAGTGTCCAAATCTTCCTTTGCAAAGCCAAGAACTTGTCTAGCAAATTTAGCTTCCCTAGCAAACTAATCTTTTAAGTAGGAAAGGGTTAGTCAATCTCTAATGTTTCATTGGGAAAACTTTATAGGAATTGCTGTTGTTAAAGATGGTTTGAGGTTTGTTCTTTTCAGAGGCAAATGCTTTAAGGTAAAATTTAATTTAGATCCTAAGCACATCCTTTGCTGATGAGTTTACAAAATTGTTTTTGCGCATAATTATTCTTGCATAATGCAGGAGACTTTAATATTTGCACAGAATAGGTAAAACATAACGACCAACTGTACAACACTCCTAATCTCACTTCAATGATACGAAAGCATTTTAATAGCACAGAGAGGGAAATTCTTTTTAAAAGTGATGTAAGGATCAGGAACAGGAAATCATAATTGGTATCATTCAGTAATTAAGGTGAATTACAGATACTGATCAGTACTGAGGGGATATTATGGAACAAAGATGTCATTGGATTACTTCAGAGAAATTTGCTCTCTAAATTTATCTTGTAAGATGAGCAAATCAGCAGTTGACTGACTTATGTATAGGAGGGAGTTTGTAGAGGGAATGATATTCAAAATTACATAAACTGTTGTGATAATTAACCTGGAATCTGCCTGTGCCAAATCTAATAAATGTTTGTCCATGCAACCCCAGGATGTGGGTTTGCCTGAGTAACCTAACACTGGGAGAATAAATCGCCTAATTTTACATTTACTGAGCTAATTCCCCTGTTAAATTATTTTACTGGCAGCTATGATTAAAAAAAAATTAAAACATCTAAAGTGCACAGATTCCTGTATTTTACAGCTTTGGCTGAATGTGTATTCAGTCAATTGCGATGTTTGTTTTAACTGTATGTTATTTACATGTACATAAATTAAAATATAATAAGGCCTAGATTTCAACTGATTTTATTTAGCGTGTAATATGAAAACTTTTGAAAGCAAATATCTGAGCAACTTATTCCAATATATGCTAATTTAAATGAGTTAAATCTTCATAAGTGTCTTGCAAACTGAAATTTACTTTACAATAAGGCATTCTTAAAAATTGTGTTGTTTTACATTTGCAAGCACATTGTGTATTACTGACTCAAAGTAAAACCAGTAACTAGTATATTTATATATATATATTTAAGCAGGTCAGCATTTAAATTACAGATTTGTTCCTCAGTCATGCTGGCAAGGTGTGAGCAATACTTTAATGATGTGAGATCATCTATAGGGATCAAACATTTTTTCAGTATGATTAAGATAGCTATGTAAAATTCCCACATTTTCTGTATTTACCAGGCTGATTTCTCTTACAAGTTGAATTAAAACTTTGTGAGTGGGTTCTTACCTTCTTCTTTTTCTATGAGAAGTGAGGGAGAGCTGTGAAATGCACCATCTGTTCGCAAACTGTGTCAGCTGGCAGATAGATGCTCATCACCCTGCCCTCTCTTACTGCAGTTTTAGGCTGGTATAACACCATTGACTCAAAATTAATTTCTTTTGATTTAATCTTGTTTAAGCAAAAGAAGTTACAATGATAGCGCACAGCATTCTAGAGGACTCTTCGTGTTGATTTAAATTGCAATCCTTTTAAACTTCAACCTCAGCTCATTTCAGTTGTCAACAAAAATGCTCGATAGCACTTGGACTGAGTGTAGTGGTTGGAGGAAACTAGGACTGCCTTAGCACCCCAGACACTTCTGTTTCTGGGACAGTTGCGTCTCAAAGACATTAAACATGATTCTGATCAATCATAATCCTTTGGATTTTTATCAATCCCATCTGAGTGTCTCAAAGCAAACACAATGATGTACCCTAGTAAAACTGAAAACAGAAGCAAATATTGTCATTATTTCCCTTCTGCGAATGAGAATTCTGAGCCACACTCAAGGCAGAAAAGGTCTGTAAAATCATGACGAGTTTCAAACACTGCGTCCTTCTCCAAGACTCAGATAATTTTCAAGACCAGTGTTTCTCTGTCTTCCATTCTATATGCCAATTTCCACTCTGGATGGCTAAATAAAAATAAAAATAAATTAAAAAAAAACCAGGAGAAAGTGTTCACTGTAATTAAGCAGTACAGTTTGAAAATTATAGAGTTGGAAAGAAATCTTGCAATAACAGGGGGATGCTACCCCACTCAAGTTGTGCAAAAGATGAGAGTAGGTCTATGGTGTAATGAAAACTGGGTGGTTTATTATTCAGAAAGATTTTGTTTGAATTATGAAGAGTTTTTTACTATTACCTTGCTATGCGGAGAGTGATTCATCTAGCCAAGTGTAAACGTCTGCATCTGCGATGCTTACTCCAGGCTTCCTTTATAATTAGCGGAGATCAATAGCCATTTCTAGAGAGCAGATATTGTTGTTTCAGGTAGACGCTGACAACCAGTTAGATTAGTAACATCTTAAAAAAATGTCAGAGGCATGGGCAGGTGAATTGAACCATGTATTCAGACAGGCACAGAGTCAGGGGGTTTAGCCTTGGGGGTCTTTTGAGGGTATATATTCATATGTAAGTGATGTAAACTTTCTGTGAACTTCGCTGCTGGAGAAAGGAAACTGCCCAATTATTTCTGAACAGAAATATTTAAATTGTTTTGTAAGGCGCATTTATCTATATAAAGTAGCGCTCTTGGAGTCTCAATCTCATTAGTTTCTGTAGGCTGGAGGGATTGATATGTTTTGTAAGATGTGGTTTTCCCCCACTTGACACTTTTGGAAAACAATCTCAAAAATATTCATTAAGTTTGACTGAATTCTTGGACTACTGGGTCAAATCCAAGGGCAATTTTTTACAGATGTTGAACATCTATGCCCAGATTCACTGTACTGTCTTTAGGATTCTAATGCAATCTAGGATCTCTGGCCCACCTCCATAGAAAATGAACCCGTGAAAGATCTCAAGTGCTCCATGGTTCCTGGTCTTCTCCACCAAGCACAGAAGGAGTCTGGAATGCCTTGGTCCAGCACCTGGAGTTAGGTAGGATGAGTGCAGGATAAGACTTCATTTATAGAGATGGAAACTTTTAAAACCTTGCCTACGTCATGAACACATCATCTCAACGGTTTTTATGAGTAGCCCTATTTTTCTTGCTTACATTCTTAGTGAAATTGTTCAATTACAGACATCTGAAAAAAATGCTTCTGGGGGTTCTAGTGCCACCAGCTATGAACAGCTCTTGGATCCTGACTAATATTAAAAGACATTCAGTCACAATTTTTCTAATGCCAAGTAAGTGCAGACAAGTCCATAGATAATCATGACTAATGTACAATATTTAAGTTAGGTAAGAGTTTTCTAAGAAAAGAGCCAGTGCAAACACTTTTTCATTTCACCATTCTTCTAAATAACAGCTGAATTTATACCTTCATCTCCTTTACATAAATTCTGGATTAGAGGGAAGATTTGGAGATGTGGTTGAATTAATTTGTGT